GCGCGGTCGTGCAAAACGAACTAACAGATTTAAATAAAAAGGTCTTTTGTTGTCGGTCGATTTCCAAACCAAAGTGGCATAATTACCCACACACTAATACAAAGGTTTGTTACCTGCCCAGTAGTGTATTTTATTTTGAATGATAATCCAACCAGGTATTTTAGTATCCAAAAACATTGTATACATTTTTTTTATAGATTTCATATAAAAATAAACTTCTGCCTTAATGTCAAGTGTTGCCTAATAAAATGTCAAAATAGCTGCGTGTAGTAATATTTTTTTATTACTTTCCGGGAATTGCGTGTTACATTATTCTAGACAGTAGAAAAAAAGCTTTAGGATTTTAAAATACTATAAATATAACAAAGTGATATTTTTACTATGGTTTAGTTCACTGTAAAAGTCGACACAGTTTGTACCAAACGAGATTACGTTCTGTACGTGATCATAACTTTGGCTATGTAGGTTATGGAAAGGTTTGTAAGATTTAGGGTCTTTTCCCGAAAGGGGTTACAGGAAGATTTTTTGGAAATTTATGTTTACTGCTCCCTAATATGGCTTTGAACCCGACCGGTGACCTCCCATACAACATTCGCTAATATCCATTCTCTTGGGATGTTAATATACTTATCTACTTATTATTGACGGCACAAAAGCAGATCTGCGTGCTGATCTAAAATATAGCAAGTTTTGTTCAAAACTTATACTCAACGGCAGTAAGTTAATTATAAAATGTTCGTGAAACTGGAAACTACAAAATGGTAGTAAATCGATTATTATTAATTACATTTGGTGACACGAGAAGGAACTGACACTCTATGAGATACTCTTATAAGCCGAGGGGTAAAATTTTAATGGTTTTCCTTAGCAATCATCTTTTAGCATCAGCCGTTTGTAACAAACGATATAGTATAATTAATTTGAACAAGACTTGTAAAAATACAATATTTTCTGGTAGCATTTTTTTCCGTTACTGAAAAACGAAAATAAACAATTTAAATTTAAATTTAAAATTCGATTATATTGAGTGTCACGAGTCTATTGGAAAGCGTTTTTTTTTTATAACGACCGAGGACAATAGTTATTAAGATAACAAAATTCGCTATCCACTTGATCGATTTTATCTTTCTTCAATAATATTTGTATGAGCTAAGAGTTTTTGTGTAGTCACCAGCTCACTAAATTTTATGACCACACTTCAGTGGGCTTGACAGAAACCGAGGACTTATGGTGAAATCGATATTCGTTATTATTTCATTTTTTGTTTTGACCGTATCGTCCATTGTTCATAAAACAATAACACACTGGCGACACTGAACATAACAATACATATTAACTGTAATCCTACATGAGTTTAGCATACCGCTATACATTAAATGTGTACCAACATTTTTCATATGATATATTTTTATACGATAAATAAATATAATTTGAGACGTGGCAATTGCAAAAGGATAATTTTTGAATTTTATTTGTACAGCGATAAGTAACGATTAATATGTTAAAAAAAAAAAAGAAAAAAAATTACATGACTATGAAAAATATTATATGAACAAGCTTCAAAAGATTGTTATCTTTAGTCAGAAATTACAAAAGCCGGAATGCCCAATGTATATTTGATGGGCGAACAGAATAACCCAAGTTACAAGTATAAGAGTTCTTAATCTTAATTAAACTGCGGAAGTTCTTGGACAATTGTTATGTTCGCGACTTTCGGTTGTATTCATGCAAAACTTCTGAAAGCCATTTCGTTGATAAGACTATCTGAGTGTAAACAATATAAATTCTAGTAAAGTACAGTTGGAAATGACTTTATATTATGTTTTTTGTACAGTATATGATGCATTCATGATAATTACTTTTTCAATTTTTATGTATACAGTTACTCTTCTGACTAAAATTGTTTGTAAGTATTTTTCCCGAATAAAAAAAAACCTTCATACAAGTAATTAAGCGTGGAAGTACAGTACAAAATTAATTGCGTGAACATATAGTAATTTCGGTTTAACATAACATATTGTGATTTGTGCTCATAATTTAATAACAAAAGCCATTTTTATTTGCTCTTGGGTGTTTTCTTTAATTATTGTACGTATACCTACTGTAGTGATGGTTGATAAAAACACTATCTTGTTTTAGATCACATGTTTGCTGTTCTTCTTAAAAACAATAAACGATATAATTATCAAGAACTCTAAACTTTTGCAATTTTATTAAAACGCGAAGACGTTTAGTTTTTCTTTTTATTATTATTCTCTGAATATAAATAAAATATACTCCAGTTCTCTAGAAAAGTGTAAATTATAGTGATAATAAAAAACTTTTTCATAAAGGAGAAAATATGTAATGAAATCAATTAAAGAATAGTAATAAATTGCGAAAAAGAATATTTTAATTTATAACGCTCGTAAAAACAAATTATTTGGATTAAAGTTTTAGTGCTTTCGACTTGCCAATGCGTTTTTTTATTCAAATGGCAAATGGTTCAGTTTCAGATGTCATAGACATATTGATCTTGGTAAAAAAACCTAAAAGTGAATACTATTGTACTAGGTTGTACATAAAATATATGCCTAATTAAGTTAGAGTTGAGTTAAAATATGAAATACTAATTTTGTTGTTGTTTTTTGTTAACCATTGTGAACTCAAATATAAACTTAATTTGTTAGATTCTGGATTGATTTTAAATTAATATTAATTTAAATACCAGATTTACTAGTAACAATTGAGAAAAAAAAATATCTGATTAAAGTAAATAATATGTGTAATTAACAAGAGAGAGATATGTCGGAGTCCGGTGGTTGATATATTCCTTGTTATATATTATGTGTCTTTTAAATGGACTAACTTGGGTATTTGTTTGGAAGAGACCTGAAGACCACCCGAATTTAATGTGAGATCTGGGAGGATCTAGGAACGAAAAAGGACGGGGAGGGGGGCTAGAGAAAAAAAAAATCCTTTCAAACATACATGAGCAATATTATTAGAGTTAAAGTTTACATTGTAAAAAAAAAATAAATACATATTCTAATATATTATTATATAATAATAAAAAAACACTTTTAAAGCATACAGTTTAAGTACATAAGCCCGACGAGGAGTGTGCGTAGGAAAAAAGTTAAAGAAAAAAAGAATTAATACCTTCAACGGCGGTAAGCGGTTAAGGGCGACGATAATAATATAATGCCGATAGTAGGTGTATGTATTATATCAGAGACATAATATTATGATATATCGCCTGTTGTTATTGCACTTAACCGATGCCGAACAAGACGCGTGGCTTACAGACCGGGCGACGGTTTCGGCGATAACTCTGTGTACTCATGTACACATTTAAGTATGTATCTATATGTATATAAATATATGACTATAGTGGATGTAATAATAACGGGTGCGGGGAAGAAGAAGAAACACGGGGCAGAATGAACGACAACACCACCGACCGTTGTTAGGGTAGTAAAAACCGTCTAGTCGGCGGTAGTGCACTCAGTAAGTATACACTTAGCTAGGGCAAGACCGGACCGCGACGTTAAGAGATAGGCGAGCAATAACCGCTGTTTAAAAACATTCTAAGACATTGTCGTCGCGCGCGTTTACTTTTGTATTTTACACGTATAAGCTCTTTCGGATTGTTTCCCTTGCACGGCTATTCGAGTACCGCCATAAAGTATCGAATTCATCATCGAGTCCCTCCCTATCTCCTGTCCTGCCACTCTGTCCGCGCTGTGTCCAGTATCGTTTCCGATTGCATTTCCGGATACTTATAGAGGCCAAAACCGGATCGTACTTAAACTATTTACACGGCAATAATTGCCGTCCACCGGTATTATATTATTATTATTAAATGATATAAATTAAACGTTTATAACGCGAATCCGCTGGCGTCTGCGGCGGCGTTGGGAAATTACTAACGCGATTATTTTGTTTGGCGAACAAGCGGGTACCGATAAAACAAACTTTTAAATTAACCAGAACGGCCCGTTGTTTTTTTTCCCACGCAGGTTTAACCCGTGGGCGGTGTAAACATTTCTTATTACTGGGCGACTAAAAGTAATTAAACAAACATTTCATTTTTTTTTTTTTTTTGCTATCTCACAATGCGAGATGTGTAAATAAATGACCGGAACGCCATTCAAACGTTTTCCACTCGAATGAAATTACAAGAAGAAAGATTATTTTCCTCTCGGTTTCCACGTCGATGGCTAAGAAGCCAAAAATTTACTTTCAGCAAATAGCGAATTTTTTTCCAGCAGAGCCATTTGAAGTTTATCGATTTTCAATTTGCCGTAGTTTTTACTTCAAGTATTAAATGTTTACTATAAACTCATAAAAAAACAGGAAATTCAACAGAGAATCATAATTTCCAGTTTTTAAAATTTTAAAAATATAGTGTAAAAATAAAAATTGTCTAGTAGTAGTAGCTTTACCTAATGACCACAAACAAAACGCTTGTCCTCTCAGGCAACGTTACATTATATATCAAATACATAATTATTAATTAATACTAATGTATATTGAACTGAAAACAATATAATCATTGTTGTAATTGATTGAAACTCTGTAAGTCACAAACTCTTACTGTTCTAAAAAAAAGGTACTTTGATTTTGGATATGATACTGGAATATTCAACTAAACGTTTCAAAGTTTTTTCAATGTATAATTATTGTTATTATCAAATTAAAAAAATTAATTTTTTTTTTAAATTCTCACTACTATTAGTGCTCGTATTTTTGTAACAGCAAGAATTATTTTAACCTCATCGAACTTTAGTCTAGGAGACCCACTACGGTTTCTTATATATTTATTAATGGTACATATGCCAGCTGTGTATATACTACGTGGATTGATCTCAAAACGTATGAGATGAAATGTCTTAAATGAGCGTTGGTGCAATAAAGGAAAAAATAGTAAAAATGTATAGCCTTGACTCATTGTCAGTTAGCATGTACAATTCTTACTTTTTATGAAAATTCAAAAAATACATATTATTACTACAAACCGTTTTGTTTTCCAGATTGTTGACTTTACACGTCAAGTAAGCGGACTTTCCTTCGAGAGCCGTCACGTTCCTGGGCGTTTCCGGGTCGAACTGCGGGCCAACGGACAAGTCGGCATCCGGTTTCACTGCATTCGCATTACTGCCGCCGTTTTTGTTGTCTCCGTTTCCCTGATACGAACACCCTGTAAAAAATCAGTACGGGTGAGATCACAGAAAATTAGAACTTGTCCCTCAAAACGCAAAAAATCGTTTCAGGCGTGACAAATTTTGATCTCGTTTATTAGGTTTAATAAAAAGTTTTCGAAATACTCTCTCGTATTATAATGAACATAATATACACTTGGTTTGTTTTCGAGAAACTTAAAAAATATAACCCGCTTACTAGGTATTTTATTAAACTACCGCCGGCAGCGGCATTACTATATAATAATCAACTTTCTTCAAATTTAAACATAAGTCGGCGAGCAGCAGCAGATTGAAACGTTTTGTCCGTGTTTTTTTATTAAATGCCACAGTCGTAGTACGATATTAAAGATTGTTTTAATTCTCAAATTGGGCAAAGTTTTTGTATCGAAAACACAAAAATAAAATATCTGGTATGCCTCTTAAAAGTTTAAAGTGTAGTAAACGTCATACATGATCCAATTTAAATATAATTTTACGATTGTACAATAGTGTTCATTAATAAATCAATATTTTCAGTTTTATTATTTTTGTTACCGCTAGTTTAAATTATTACTATTCGGTATAATACCTTCAATACATTTATAGCGTAACCATTATGCACTAAGTTTTAAAGCTGTTGGTGTGCAGAATAACAACAGTCGAATGTTTGTTTTTTATTTTTCCATTAGGTTGCATTATCGTCATATTGTTATTTCATAAGTTATTACGTGGTTTCATATATTATTAAGTGAGTGGAAAATTCCGGGAAGTGTACGAGTATACGATAAAACTTTAAATGTGGTTACGTGGTTAGAATAGGTTGTAAACCAGTGAGTTACAAAACAGTAAGTTTGTCCTTGTTGTTCTATCGCTTGTTATTCCTGTTTATTATACATGTGTAACGATGTACTATAGTAAATTGAAATTGCATTGTTTGTAAAGTCTATTTTCATTTAACAAGTAGGTATAAACTTTAAACAACAATAATAATAATAAAAACTGAGAATTATTCAAGTAAAAAACAAAACATATAAAAGGCGCCTGAAATTTTCACCAGGCGCAAAGAGGATTTATCTGATTTACATTTATAGAGTTTTAACGCAATATACTTTCAAGATTTTCCATCTATTCTATGCCGTCCACCGTTGGTTTGATAAATGAAAATAACTACTGTTCTTGTAAGTTTATTGATTATATGGTAAATATGGGCGTTAAAAAACGATCCAAATATTGCGTTCGTATGATTAATTGGAGCGTCGTGACACACGAAAAAAAACTCTACTCGAAGGAAGGTCTACTTTGAAAAAAAAAAAAATATATATATATATATTACCCAAGTCAAATGCTCGGTCTTAAAGTGTTTATTTTTTTTTATTTCGAATTTTGCAGCTTATACAACTGCAAATATACGTAGAGTTAAAATTGTACGTCAACGCTTGTTCATAATCAAATAACGTTAGTCTCAATCACAACAAAAACGTTCTATTAAATATTTTATATTTTGTATTTTACTTATAAGAAAAATGACAAGAAAATTATTTAAATGTAGCAAAAGTCAAAACAAATGGGATGGAGGCCAAAAAGTCTACAGTTTATGATGAGACAATGCACATGTTATAAAGTCAATGGCCATGTTCTATATGGTTATATTTTAATGTGTTTTAACGGAATATTTGCTGCTGTGGAAATTAATAGAATATTTTCCGGAAATAGTTCGAAAAAGATAACAGTACTCTCAGAGTAGGTACTTTCAATTTATATGGACGTCTTTTGTGCCGGGCGTTAAGCTGCTTCTTTCGGGAAATCGTTTTTGAAGTGCCCGACGTATAATTTACAAAGGTACAATCCATCTTTCTATTGTTGCTTGTTAGCATTCAACGTCGAATTCCTTATCCAACAGAATTGGCAATTGAAGCGACAATTGTATGGTGAAAGAACTTTTTAAAATCAAAGATTTTTATCATTACTATAGCTGACCGTATAATATTGGTAATTTGCAATGTTTGGTAATTATATCTCATTCGCCTGTTAATAATCATAGTTTTAAGCATATAATATACTCCAAATGTCAAGACATAAATGCCTTGGAGCCAGAAATAAGCCAGTTGAAAATTCCTCAAGAGTTTATAATACAAATTTATACAGTGAATTTTTTTTTTTAAATCTGTGTTAACAAATAATATCAAAATGTTTTGTGGAAAACAATATTAGATTTTCGACGCCATAATTACAAATGCAGGACGCAATTTGTTTGAGCAAAATTATTTAAAAAAAAAATCATTAGGTGGTTCAGCTAAGAAAATCAAATGGTTGTAAATTATTTTAAACATATTTTTTGTTACATTTTTGAACTTACATATGTATTGGATATTGGATAATGGACAATATACTGCGAGAAATCAGACGTTTGCGCAGGAACAAAATTTGTTGCGTCAAAAACAAAAACAAGTCCCCTTTTCAACTAACCTTACAACATTCTTTCTATAATTTCAAAATTTCGTACGATACATTTTATAAACTGTTTGTGGTTTTCTCAAATCACAGTTTCTTGTATTGGCTGTACGGGATTATAATTTACATAAAGTAAAAAAAAATAGTTATGAACAAGGTTTATTTAAGTGTTAAATCTGGTGTCCACGCTGGCCAAGTACACGTTTACTTTAGTAACTGGGTTGAAATAACAAATTATTATTATTATTATTTTTTTTTTTTACCGGAGACGCTGGGATATTCACAGGTCGTGTCGGTGTCGACTCCGGTAACAACGGTTGGGGGACGGATCGATCGGTCGGAAACGTTGCTGGGTTTTGTAAAAGTGAGAGAATGTGTGAGAGACAGAGAGGATTGAGCAGGGTATCAATTGGGCTGCTAGGACGATGAAAAATGGGAGGTTATCCCGTATACGATGTAACGCCGGTAAAACAGAGTGAGTATAGAGGTTTCGGATAGGTGGTGCCGACTCTGGCTGTCCGCACACGCATCATCAATCAGCTAGCCGGGATAGGGCGACACACATACGTACTTGCGCCCGGTTGGACTTGCGAATTTGGATCTGTCACGTTTTTAGCCGGTAGCATAATATCAGTAGCAGCAACAGCGACGCCCGTCCGTGTAGCCGGGGATTTGTGTAGTATTCCCAAAAACCATTTGTATCAATTATACGGCTCGAGTCCGGAATGAAGTACGCCCGAGGCCCGACTACAGGGGTTAGGTTGTGGGGCAAAGGGATTTTATTAAAAACCCACGACGAATGACAAGGTTTTACACACACACACACACACATACGCGCCTCTAATAGATCAATATGGCCGCGGCCTGGCGTTTATTGTACGCGTATACGCGGTTGTTGATTTTTTCGGTTAAGTGGATTATGATGGAGTGCGGCGTTTCTTTCTCGCTTTCAAACTACTTCCGAAATGGAACGGAATAAAGACCTAATAATCCTCCGCGGCATCCCAACAGTTCCGGCTTACGCCGAAAATATAAGCACTCGAAACCATATTTTCCCACCGCCAGACCGTACAATACACACCGTCGGGGCTGCTGCTGTTATATTATACATATATGCACACACACACATACACACCTCGCTCGGTAACGTTTTCGAGCCATATCAATTTGGTTGAAAAAACACCTCAAACACCAGGTCGGGGCCGTGTCAACGAGGAATTATATTTTTTATACAAACATAGATAGAAAAACCGTGTTGACCGAGTGTGAGGCTACCGCGTAATTGACTTAGCAAGGACCGGCGTCCTTTTGAAGAGTCGACCGAAAGTTAACTTGGTCGAATTTTTGGTTTACAACTCATAACCTGCCCCTCCCCCCCCCCCAACAGTGAAATTGAGTAAACACAAATGCCCACCGTCAGACATTGTTTGAACCGTTTCGGCGGCGAATAATTTGTACAATATCAATAAACTGGTGTTTTGGGCACAATTCAAACGGCAATACCCAGATAATTATCATTAATGATACAAGCCATATTAAATGAATCGCTATTGTCGCGGCTGGATATAAGCCGGGGATGAGACACCGCGATTAGAGGGCACAGCGGAGGAGCAATCTGTCGTTGATGACTTGTAAACCCTATAGAAAACTATGTTATAATAACAATTAAACTAACGATTTCACTGAGACATGATTGCTGACATGACTGGAGATGACTGCTCCTCTTCAAGACTAACCACATCAATACAACGTGGCAAACGGCGTGTTTTCGGTTAAACATGAAATATCGTTGCCGTCGTGAAGAAAGTGCACTTTCTCGCGTGGTAAATAATAGGAGCCGTTGCAAACATATTATGAAAACGGCGATAAATGATAAATATATTTGTTGAAACTATCTTGGAATATTTTCGCTTCGATTTCACCATTCGTCAGAATGCATTGCGTTGGCATCGAGCGCAGGTGGTCCAGACAGGCGTTTGGTGACTGCGGGGGTCGCTGCCAATTCTGGAAATCGGTTCCGGGACGAATATAAAGTGTAGGAAATGCTACGTTTTTTCGTTGTCCTCCGTCTTCGGACAAGGGTAACGTTCGGGTTGAAATATGACGGCTCTCCGGTGGGTGCGGACGAATGTGAGGGTACCTACCCAAGGAAAACATGAGGGTCGGCCGCCACAGCCGGACAATAGGGTTTGCCGAACAAAGACTGCAGAGATATCAAGTTTGGTGCGCTTCCGGTATGCAGAGAGGCTGTGGTCGACATTATAGGCGTCATAACGTTCATTAGAAGGAGGAAACGGCGAATGGATGACGTTTTTGTACTTTCCCCGAAGACACTTCGACGGGTGACACAAAGAGACGAGGTGTGTTCGAAGTTATCTGGATAGACAAATTATCTTGACCGTGTTTTCGATTAAAAAAATTATCTTAAATATTCGCCAACATTATAGATGCCTCGACCCGTCGCTGATCGTCGTTTGAGCAACGCACACACACATGATTGTATATAGCGCTAAAAATTAAGTTAAACAGATAAACGCCCTGGTTTTATACAAAGAAACGTGAGCTG